AAGCTAAGGATAGCACAAAGATTACCTTTCATTTGTAATGGATTATACTGCATTTATGCATCCCATTGTAATGATGACTTTTTATGCAACAGCATGTTGTTATGTTCGGTTTATGATATGATATGATCCAATCCCAGATGAATCTCTGAGGAACTGTTCCCTTATCAGTTGTTCCCCATTCTCTGTGGGTTCAGATAATTGTTCCTGCAGCAACAAAGAGTGTCTGACCATCCCTTATTCAAATTCTTCATGTCATTTCTCCAACTTGGCAGTATTGTTTTGAACTGAAGTCTTGTTCTCTTGATACAGTTTTAATTCACTTAGCTGTATGCCTCTGCAAATTTAATAAACGTATACCCCATTCTACTGCCTGAGTTGTTAATGAAAGTATTAAACAGCATCAGATTCAGGACAAACCCTTGTGGAACATAACTCAGTGTGTCCTTCTGTTTTGGTATGTAACTACTCCAAGTTCAGCTTTTCAAACAGTTTCAAATCCCTATGGTGCTTGTTTCTTCTAACTCATTTATTTGCTGGTAGGTTATGAGAATGTCATGTAAGACGGTAACAAAAGCCACACTAAAGAGAAGATATATAGCAATGCTTGCTTTTCATCCATCCGTAAGACCTCTTACTGCACCCCAGAAGTAAATTGCGTATTACTGTAAATACGCAGTAAAACTGCGTATTACATATTCTTGTTACATCTTGGGCACTGGTTATCTTTTTTGTTCTTTTCTTAAGCACTTAAAAATTGATTATTTGTTCCTATATTTTCCTAGGCTGAGTGGTAAGTCTTCTGCTTTTGGGTTTTTTCCTTAACCCTTTTTTCCTTAACCCTATTTTTTAAAGGTAGTTGCTACACTTCCATCTTTTTATCAACCTAGCACTTAATTATTCTCCCCTAGTTCTTGACAATGAGGATGCATCCTTTCATTTGATGCATTTCCCATTTTAGGTGTTTCTTGTAGTAATATTTGAAGAGTAATCTCTTGTTATCAGTGGCATCCCTTGCCAGTTGTGTCTCATCCTGCACTTGACCCTTTTCTGATTGTGTCCCTACATGCTGTGTTCCTTTAGGCTTGCCAGTAGTAATCAGACCTAATTTGTACTTTCTGTATTCTGCATTTTGTGTTTGAGCTCAATGAAGAGCTCATGAAGTAGCTAAGGTGATCTCTTTACTGCATTGCCTAGTCTTCCCTTTCATCAAGGGCAGAACTGCAAATTATCATAATGTAATTTCTGTATGAAAACTACTAGTTCACCTGAATTATTTTTGTTCATTTTCAGGTTTCCCGTTTCTATGCAATTTAACCTACTAATTTTTCCAGACTATTGAAGTCTGCCTACTTGATGGTCACTGTCCTTATCTTACTCTTTGCCCCTCTTCTTAAAAACCACGAATAACCCCAGTTGCCTTCCAGCCCAAGTTTCTCATGAATCTTTCTCCTATTGATTAGGATAAAAATCTAGAAGAATTTATTTGCCTTCTTTCTGCCTTCTTTATCTGCATGCATTAGCCAATGTGTGTCTCGGCTAATTCTTCTGATTGCTTCTGAAAAACCTGGTTCATTTGACCTTTCTTGATTTAGTGATATATGATATCAGCCTATTGCTGTGATACTGCCACTGCACTTTTGAGTAAATATTTGTCTCTGACGTACAGGAGAGCTGGAAATTTTTTTTGTTGTTGTTCAATTGGGGTTTTTTGTGTGTGGTTTTTTTTTTGCTTTTCCTTGGCCTGTTCTTTTTAAGTGAATGGTTCTTTTCACAGTGAGGATAATGGTGATTAGATGGATTTTCAGTATATTCTTAATGTGCAGATTTACTGGGGAGTGCAGTGGGGACTTTGCTACCCTGTTAGTGTACTAGTGGATGCCATATGTGTTTTGACATAATGGGATGTGATTGTATGACTCCATTCTTGCCTTCCCAAGGAGGTTGGGTTTCAGGTATCCTTATCTCTTGTTCAAAAGTGCTGGTACCAGACACTGTAAACTGTAAGTAGTTATAAAAGGAAAAGTATTCTATTTCTTTTTTACTGGATTAAGCTGCATTTTGCTACCTTTGAAGCTGTGAAACTCCTATTTGAGAATTTTATCTACCATATTTTTGTATTAGCAGCTATGAAAAGTAACTGAACAACCTGTTTCCCAATGTTAAAGCTGTTACAGTTATCCTTGGTGTATCACTATACTACTACGAGTTTACTGTTAGTAAAAAATAAAGCATGCCTGAGGCAGGTTTTTTCATATGTATTTCTAAGTCTGATTTAAAAGAAAATTCTGGTTTGCATTTTGTAATCTTTATTTTACCCTGTAATGTTAAAAAGTGCATGGAAAGCATAGAACTCCGCAAATACCACAAAGCTGGGCAGGGTAAAAGAACCTGAACATATAAATACAAGGGACCATCATGAAGCTATTATTACTCCATCTTTATTTTCCATCTGAATCTGTGCCCTAACATGCTCAAGTAACTCTCTAGGCATGGGTCACTGAACAACATTATGCATTATCCCATGTTAGATGATCTTAAGGGTCCCCTTCTGTCTGGGCCTGTGCAGAGATGGATGTAAGAATGGGTTTTCTGGCTGTATGTATGCTGAGAACTTGCTTATGTCAAAGACTAGTAATAAAAAGCTCCATCTATATAAGCTGTGCAAAGGGAGTCAGGGAGAGGTCTGTCCTAATATATTTAACAATATGAGTTATCTTACATTGCATATGCAACTATGAATATGTCATCTTAACCAAGCTGTGGAAAGCTTTTCCATCAGATGTCTCTAAAATCAGACTGCTTCAAATCTTTCATCATTCAGAAACTGCTTTCTCAGAGAGTGCAAATTCGAGTTACGGCTTAGAAGACCACAGATTACAGTTGCGATAGGGATTTTGCCACAAATTTGTGAAACCCATCTGTCCTGGCCAAAGGAGAGCAATTCAGCTAGTAAAATGTAATGGAAACACTATATATGGCTGCTTTTCTGCAAGTTGTAAAAAATAATTTTATAATATTTAGAATAGTTTGAACAAGAGAGGAAAAAAGCACTTATATTTAGATGTCAAATACATGACCGTGTTGTAAACAAACAAGTGAATTACAGAATATTACTTCTTACTAGTGTGCCTTACTGTTTGCTGGCTAGTCTGTGCTTGTATAATAGCTGACCAGTAAGCAGAAACTAATTTTCAAGCCAGGTGAACCATGCGCTGCTTTTTTCATGTGCAGCCAGTCACATGGGATGAGAATGAAGACATTTTGATATAATACTCAGAGACATTTAGAGTATGCCTAAAACTTTGTGGAGGACATCTGGGAGACTCAAACTGATGGTACGTTGAAGATGCAGGAAGGAGCTGGTGGTTTTGCATGTGGTGAGAGGTGATGGGACGGGGTGATGTGAATTGGTTGTAGGCACTCCCATGGCAGGGATTGCAGCAGACACAGGGAAAATTTGGCATTATTGCAGTGAAGTGTGTAAGAGATCTCTAAGGATATCAGGCTAGCTTTGCAAATTGAAGATCCTTTCTTTTTACTTGTATTACTGCATTAATGTAGTTGCGTTATCCATACCTTGAACAAATGGGGAAATGTTCACATATAAATAAAAATATAAATTAAAATAAAGGTAAGAGTTAAGGTTTTCTTTCCTGTTTATAAAGGCAAATATAATAGCTTGTGATGACTGTATCATCAGGAAACACAATATGAACATAGGGTAAGCTGCTGTAGCAAAGTCCTGTCATCTATGTCTGTGGAAACACTGTTAATTACCTTTACAGAGTATGCTTTTCTGGTGGTTATCTACAGCATGTTAATATTTTATTGACGGGCCTCCATTTTTATTGTCACAGAATCTTTGGGTTGGAAAGGACCTTTAAAGGCCATCTAGTCCAACCCCCCTGCAGTGAGCAGGGACATCTTCAACTAGAGCAGGTTGCTGAGAGACCCATCCAACCTGACCTGGAATGTTTCCAGGGATGGGGCATCTGCCACCTCCCTGGGCAACCTGTGCCAGGGTTTCACCACCCTCAGTGTGAAAAATTTCTTCTTCTATCCAGTCTAAGTCTGCCCTCTTTTAGTTTAAAACCGTTGCACCTTGTCCTGTTGCTTCAGGCCCTGCTAAAAAGTCTGTCCCCATCTTTCTCATAAGCCCCCTTTAAGTCCTGGAAGGCTGCAATAAGGTCTCCCTGGAGCCTTCTCTTCTCCAGGCTGAACAACCCCAACTCTCTCAGCCTGTCCTCACAGCAGAGCTGTTCCAGCCCTCTGATCAGTTTTGTGGCCTCCTCTGGACCCGCTCCAACAGGTCCATGTCTCTCCTGTGCTGAGGGCTCTAGAGCTGGATGCAGGACTCCAAGTGGGGTCTCTAATTTAGTAACAAAAAGATACATCAATCCTATCAGAAAATATTAAATACCTAATGTGTCATTTAAAATAGAAATAAGCAATGGGAGCAGGTTGTAATAAACCTTATTATGAACTTCATATTTAAAATGTGCATTATTTTCCAATATTATTCTTTACACTGGTTTGAATTCACAGATTTCATAGTACAGCAACTTTAAAAATTAAGCTTAGTATTTAGGATAATGAAAACATACTTTTAAGTAAAGTAAGTTCCAATTTTTTGTACTACTTTCAACATTTGAGGGGTTCCTTTTTCCTACTTGTTTTCAGAATTGAAAAATGCCTCACTGGAATAAGTACTGAGGGCAGTGATATATTTTCTAGTTGTATTTTCTCCTTACCTGCTCAGTATTTCATTATGTATGAGATGATAGGATAGATTGTTTTTTCTACATCTTCTACTAGTCAAAAAATGTTTTTTTAAAAAAAACATCTTGGCTTTATAGAAGTACTTTTTACTTATTTTTCTGAGAAAATCAGCGTTGCCAGAAAGCTTCTGTGGAGACAGTGAGTGGCAAGAAGGCCTGAAATCTGTACTTGTAGGTTTTATGTTGGGGATTTCTTAAGTGACAATTTGTCTTGTTTCTCAGCCATATTATGTCTGAGTATGTGAGGATGACAGATACAGAGCGTGATCAGATAGATCAAGATGCTCAGATATTTATGAGGACGTGTGCCGATGCCATTCATCAGCTGAGAACAGAAGGTAAACTGAGAAACTCTTAAATATTTTTTCTTAGCTATTGATAAAGGCTAATATAATGCTGAATATTAAATGGTGAATCTGAAATACTTTTGGGAGGAGATTGGTGAAGTCTCATTGCCTTTTGTTTGCATCTCTGTAATCCCATTGATGGATTAGCACTGTACTTAATTTTCTTTAATGTTAGTGGAAGGAGAAGCCAGGTCACAGAATTTTATTTCTTTGATTCAAATACACTAATTAGCAAGTGTAAAAAAGATAGTCTTAAATATTTTCTACTTAAATAATAGTTTAGGTGTGAACCAAAGCTCACCAGATTCAATGATTGTCTCTTTCTAGCTTGTCCACCTGTAAGACATTACCAGTATAATCTCTCCAAGTTTGAGATAATTAATTAACTTTAGCAGAGTCCTGGTAAAGTAACAGCCTTTTTGACAACTTGAGTATGCGATTGTACCTTTACAACACTATCTTACGGAAGTTGTGGAGAGAACTTGTGTTTTTCAGGTTGACTTGGTGCATGTGTATGTTTTATCAGTATTTTCATCAGCTTTGAAATGCCAACTAAACATAGCTGTAGCATTATTCAGAATCATTGAAAGTCAGTCATGCATGAGAATTACTTAGTATCAAAAGAAGAAATATTAATATATGTGAATTAAAAGGATGCTTGACACAATAAATCCCACAGGTTTCCACATAGTCTATACACTAGAGAATTTAAAATGTTAGAAGTTCAATATTTTAAGCAAGTTAAATCTCTAGATCTGTTTTGCTACGCTTGTCTTGGTGACATCTATTCTTGTTTAGAAAGTTAGTTGACATAATATGACTTGGTGGCATATGTAACAAATGAATAACATAAATATTGTAAGACATTAGATGTTTTCAGCTTTTGCTTTGTTGTAATGATTTGCTGTTTTATAGAACCTATATTAAATATAAGTATGTTTAAAATAAATACAAATATACAACATATAAAATGTTAATAGACTTTTGAATATAACTTGCGTATCAACTGAAAAAGAAAGCTTTTGTGGAATTCAGTAAAAAGTTAAAAGATTGTTTTATGTTTGTCTTTTTTATTTCAGCACACAAGGGTGTCCAGTCTGCTCAGGTAAAGGACCACAGGACAGCTGTCTTGGACTTCATTGAAGATTACTTAAAAAGTACTTAGTATTTATACTGTCAAATGGTTAAAAATGAATGATTGTGTTTTCCAAGAAAGAAATCATGCTCTTCTAACCTGAAGTTTTGTTTACACCTCTCTTGAACAGGAGTGTGTAAACTGTATTCTGAACAAAGAGCCATCCGAGTTAAGCGAGTGATAGATAAGAAGAGACTGTGAGTAGTTTAACTGTGCCTTTCATTTGTAGGACATTCAACAAAATTATTGTTTAGATTCTAAAGAGATTGTTTTAATGGATATCTGTAGTTGGATGAGCAACTTCTGCGGTCAGCAGGTGCATTCCAGGGCTCTCTTACACTTCTGGCATGTGAAGTTAAGTCTGTAACTGGCAGAGTGCCAATATAATGTTGTACTTTTCATTGATGTAAATGATTAAAGCACCAAATCAGTAAAATGTGGGTTAGTAAACCTACTGGACTTCTACAAATGCAACAAAATATTTTTGTGTGTCCCATTAAGTAATGTTCTGCATAAAATAATTTAGAATTAAATCCTACGTGTTGGTAATAGGTCTCAAAGATGCTATTTAGGATACTGTCTGTTTAGTTATAAGAGATGTTTACTTCTCTCTCCCGTTCTCTTTATTTTTGCCCTTTTTTTTTTTTTTTTTTTAAAAAACCAGTAGCTTTCTGCTAAAGCAAGTGGCAAGTGATTATGTTGTGAATAAATGCTACTTGAGATGGCAGGTCTTCATAGCAAGTAGAAACATGATTTAAATAAAAAACTTGCATGTAACTTCTTAATCGAAACACAACAGTTTCTGCTTCCTATCGTGGCATATGTTCAGGCTGCTGTAGAGGTGAAAATGTCTAGGAGAAGTTAAAGATGATATGCTTGCTGGCTTTTTGGTCTGGGTTTTTTGGGTTTTTTTCAGTCAAGTATGAAAAAAACATACTTTTTCAGTTTCTTTTTCTGCACATTCCCAGATGTAAGAATGACAGGGAGAATGAGCAAGTTTGCAATTTATTTAATAACTGAAAGGCTTTCCATGTCTTCTCAATCTGCATTATTTGAATCCTAACCTTAAGTTCCCTTATGTAAATTTTAATTTAAAAATAACAAATTCTAGAACATACACATCAATAGATAAATTCTAGAGTGTTTTTCCAAGTCTTAATGCTGCTTTATCAGCTTGATGTTTGGGTTGATCAGCTATTTACACTGAAACTAGAGAGATGTTTTCAAAAGTCCATAAGTACATTTTATTCAGAGTGATTCAGCATGATTAAGCACAATTGAATTCACTCAAATGTATCCTCTTGAGACATAAATAGTATGTTCATAGTAGTATATAAATACATATACAATAAATACAATACCTAATATAAATACAAGCCGAAACCAAGTAAACAAAATACCCCAAACCAGTTCTGAAATTTGGCAAGAAGTAATGCGAGAAAAGGCGGGTATTGGTATTTTTGCAATTCCCATAACTTTTCAGAAAAAACACACAGAAACAAACTGTGTGATATTTTTAGTGTGTAAAAATACATAACCTTATTGGTATTCTTCACACTAAAGAATTTCAAAGCAAGATAGCATGGGTTTTGCAGTTAAAGAACTGGCTGACAAATACCAGCTCTTCTGTTGTTTGTACTCATATATTATTGTTTCCATGTGAAATCCCAGGTTCAAGATTTCTTGGATAACTAAACAGAGAAAACAACTCAATTTGATGTATGCTAAACATAGAGCAAAGAAAGAGCTATTTTAGAAGTTAGAATACCTCTTAATTAAAGAGCAATAAGGCATTAAAAAATAGCTCAGAAGATGCGCATGTAATATTGGAGGATACCTCTTTGCCTCTTTTTACAGATGTAAAAACTAGAAAACAGATGTTGACCAGGTGGAATCTGTATGCATTGCAGATGTGATGGCTAAACTGTGATTTCAATTAAAATTAATTTTAAGTAAATCACAGAGCATAAACCAATCTTTCTGATGACTTGAAGAAAAAATGTCTTTTTTTTCCATATGCCTTCAGCTAGCTGATTCGTAATTTCCCCAAGGATTTCAGCAGACACTTTATGTGATAAGAACATGTTCTATCACTTAAAAGAACTAGGCATTCTTTAGTGCATCCCAGGCATTTTGTTCAGTTTTAATTGAAAACTTTGTACATTAGCATGCTGTGCAAAGTAAGGGCAACAAACAGTAAAGGAATGCATTCCTCTAAAAGTAAATTAATCCTAGTACAGACCTTCTTTCCTGCAATTTAGTCAACTTAAAATATGTATCAGACAATACTGAAAGGTTTCCAGTAGAAATATACTTCATCATATTTCCTTTTATATTGATAACCATTGTAAGCTCTTCAATAAATTGCCTGAATGTTTCAATTTTCTTACATAAGTTGCCTTTATGTGTTAACTCGTATTTTTTGATTAAAAAGTTCTGCCAATTACATAGGACTAGTTCCCCAAAATTAAAAGTTGAGAAATAGAAACACAAGCATCTTTTTCTGTCAAGGTGCTTGGTTGTGATTTTCAGTTTTTATTGGTATTCAAGATTAAATATAACTTCCATTTTAAACCTCTTTTTCCATAGAATATCTTGTGAATTATGTATGCAGTTATTCAAATCAAGATTTGGTTTTTTTTTTTATTACCTGGGGAATTGGTGTTTTATTAGTATCGGAACTAGTATTTGAACTGCAGGGACATCCAGATAAGCCTTTTTTTCCTTAGTATTAGGGAAATTTGGGACTTGAGGGGGAGGAGATGAAAGAAGAATAGTTCTTTTTTGTAAAATTACCAAAAGCCCAGTACTTGCAGAGTTTTTAGAACTATGAAAGGTTCCCTGTTAGTGGGGTTTTTTTCTTGTTTAAATAACGTGGTCACTCAGTGATGACTAATGCATTATATTCTGTCTTTCTCAGAATTTTCTAATTATGGGTTAGAATTTAGACACAATACAAAGAAAGAAAGGAACACAAAATGCAACACCTTCTGTTAAGCAGCAGGGGAAGATTGCAGATCATAATGAAATTAACTGTAGGTTATATTTGAGAGGGGAAGAAGTGATGAAGGAGGCACAGCAGGTGGTTCAGCCCATTGCTTTTTGGTTTTTTGTTCCTTAGCTTCTCTAACAGCATAACTACTAAACATTTAACTGTCTACTACATAGCAGTTAGAATTCGTTGTAGACAACAATAAACCATAGAAGTTTACTGGGAAAAATATTTTGCCACTAATTTTAAACTTTCTTTTTGGTGCCACAGTAAAATGTACTTGACAAGTACTTAATATATAATCGTTGAATATGCTTCTCATTTTTTGCATTGCTTTTGTATTAAAATTACATAGCAGGGACTTAGGTGTAGTATATATCTGTCCACTACATACGGTTTTTCTTTGCCTTGCTTCTCAGTGGTCTGTTGTGTCTTTTGGCAGACAAGGTAAGGATCACTATTGATCCTGGATAAACTAGTCTTTAAAGCTAGTTAAATAAAAGTGCTTGTTTCAGGAAAAGCTAATTCTGTCGTATTTTCTTACTTTTCCTTTATGATAAGTTACAATATTAAGTAAAATTGTAATTATTACTTGAATGAAAATAAAGTACTAGTGTTGGCTATTGCTACTAACCCAATTTTCAGTATGACCAAAATGTTGTTTGGTTGTTTTATAAAAGAAATATATATTTTAATACACTGGATTTTTTGAAAGGAAGTTTAATAAAACGTCTGTGTTTTTATGCTATAGCCTTCAAAATTCTTCTCAACTCTGAACATGTAATGTATTTTGTTCAGGAATACTTCTGGGCTTTCTTTGCTTTTGTAATAATATTTCAGTGGAAGTTGCTAAGTACATTTTGTATCTTGAGTGGGAAATCTATAATGTGAAGTTTGCAAGAGTTAAAGTGTCAAATTTAATAACCTGTGGTTGTTCTCGTTTTAAAGAAATTCAACTGTGTAATATCAGTTAAATTATAGGTTCTTGTGCTTCTAGGTCCAGACTTGAACCTGAGCAGAGTAACGTGTCCAAATCACCTTTTTCCCCTGGAAAATCTTCACAGAATTCTTTAGATGATTCTGAAGAAAAACTTTCTGCTGAGGAAAGCAAAGGTGAGAAAAAAACGTAGTTGTATTTCGTTTTTTGTGGCAAGGCTTGTCTGTTCAGTATTACTTTCTTCCCATTATAAGGGCCTGTTCCTGTGACTTGCACCTTTTCTATTTTCATCTTCCCTGAATTCATCAGGCTTTTGTGAAGCTCATTGTGAGACTGAGGAAGCAAAATCTTAAACTTTTTGACATGCTTTTTCCAACCAGCTAAAAAAGACTTATGCCTTGTTGGATTCCTCATCCTCTCAAACTCTGTGTGAAGTCTTTTGTTTTTATTTATTTTTATCAATATCCATCTACTGACATATCTTCTGAGATCTGTCTGATTTTTTCCACATTCCTTTCACTGATGGCAAGGAATGGGAAGGTAGCTCAGTGACTTTCTGGGAACATTTTCTAGTTTTTAAGCACAGAGACCTTGAGTTGGACAACTCTACAGTCAGAACTTGAAGGCAGAATATGCTCATAGAGGGGAGGTCACTGGCTGGCCAGTTCCAGTAGTCTTGGGGATGTTCTTTTCCACAGCATTGAGTTTCCCTGCTGGAAGGATTGGTGGGCAGGAGATAGCCAGAAGACCAAAGCAGTATCTCTGACCCCAGGGTCATTTCAGCTGGTGCTGTTCTTGACAGGACTTGTGAACATTGCTTCTGATTCTTTGGTGTCCTGCTTCTGAGGCCAGGGGATAGGAGTCCCTTCTCTTAGCCATTTTGGTCTGCCCTGGGATGTGTACACTGGCAGAACTTCATTGTGGAGTGCCTTTCTGAGTACCACTACTATGCAGATAATTTTGGGTTTCATACCTAAAGAGATATCTTGTTTCTGTGATCCTTGGAGTTGCCTTCCCTGGCTTGAGTAGTCCTGCTTTTGCTGTTTAGAGGAGTCCAAGGTGCCCTGTGATTTACAGTGTGAAAAATATTTTTGGAGAGAAATAGAAACTGTCTGAAATGTGATGTTACATTAGGATAATACTTTATCAAGATAGATGAAATGCACTCGGTGGCCATATTGTTCTGATCATAAGTTATTGTTTCTTTGGTGATTTTTATTAAAAGAGTAAAGTTCCTCTGGTTGGTGACTTTAGGGCCATACAAAGGGTAGACTCATGTGAAGTGGGTACTCCATTTCTGGATGAAGACTCTTATACTGAATTACCTCCCAGTGTGCCGACAGTTTCATTTTCTGATATAGCACTGCTTATCTTCCTAACCAGTTTGTACTTCTGCAGCCCTCTCAGTATGCTTTTACCTCCCTCCTCCCGACACTGAATTTATTGTAAGAAGTAAAGGTTTTGATTATGTGTCATTTCTAGTGCTTACTACGTTTTTATAGTATGTCTTAAGTGGTGCAGCACACAGGCCACATAGATGAGTTTCACCTTAATACGTTATCAGTGTTTTGCAGCTGTGAGCTAGTGCCAGCAGAGAAACAGCAGCGTAGTAGCATCTGCATTGGCCTGTGCTCTTTCCTTGTTACTGAACATCTCCACAATCTCTGAAAGTGTGTGCTTCTACCACATAGTGTCCTTAAAATTTTTAGGTCCAAAAATCTGTGCCACTCCATGGAAAACCCTGTTCTTTGGTTGCCTTGGACACAGCAAACCACTGCAATAAACAGAAGTCAAACTTTGTTTCTTGCACATTAATTTTGATTACTCCAATTTTCACTTTTATTGGTTATATGCTTTAATTTCCCATAAGAAAGTAGGGGCCTCATCATATAAGTGATGCTGATGCAGGACTTATGAGGGATTGCTGACTAGTCTTTGAGAAAACTATGAAACTTGTATATCAAAATTAATCTGTCTGAAACAGTTTGTAAATGCACACAGCCTGTGATTCCTCACACAACTGTAAGTGTCGGTTGCTGCTGCTTATAGAAATCAGCCTTGTGACTTCACTGGTAGGTCGTTGTTGAAGCATGGAAATAGCATGGACAAGGTGACTAGGAAACCAGCAGCTCAGTTTAAATCTTATAAACTTTGATTTTTTTTTTTTAATTTTTTTACAAGTAACTTTTCAAATCTTTAAGCAATTGGAGAAGTTATTGTGTTTCTAAACAAACTATTTCATCCTCAGGGTGTGAGTGGTTTAGAGAATGGTGATCACTTGTATTTATGAATTAGCCATCACCAACGTGCCTGGGTTCCTTGCATAAGTATCTCAACTGTAGAGAGCAGCTTGTGGTCCTGTCCTTACTTTGAACATTATGATGAACAGCTAAACATCCTCCTTGATGTGCTGAAGCCCAGCTTGGGTTTTGTCTGTTTTTTGGCAGAAACCAAAGCAAAATGTGATTATATTTGTTTTGAGGCAAAGCACCTGTTTACATTAGAATTATACTGGACATGCCTTATGGTAGGAAAATAGTCTCTCTGGAGATTGCTTTTATATGCTGACAGTATTTATTTGCATATTACAAATTTGACATTTAGTTTATGGAAATAAATGTAAATAATGAGTAGCTTTTGAACTCATCCACAAGCTTAGCAGCTGTCTCCTTTCAGCATGGAAAAGGGTTCAGAGGATTTGATCATTATTTTGTATTTCTGTATGCATTAACTACTTCTTTCTGCAAAAGAAATATAGTTTGAGTTTTGCTAGATGAATTGCAGAAAAGCATTAGTGTCAGCTCCATAAAAGCTGCAGAACAACTTTCCCAGTAGCCACAAATGTACCGCAGTGACAGGAGGAACCCTGGGGAGATACGTGTTTCTCACTTACCTCTTACCATAAGTGTATTTGCTTATTAGCAATCACGATGGATACAGGTGCTGTGTTTTTAACAGTGCTGACAATGCCTGAAAGTAATTGGTTCCTCTGGGATAAAATAGGAATATATCTTTTCTTTTTCTTGGCTCCACAAGCTAATTATCTTCTTTTCTTTGAATCCAGTAAATAATTCATCATGTTTTTGATATAAATACATTGATTACCTAAACAAATAAGTTTTGTGTTTCTGTGAAATAGACTTGAAATACTGAGGATACCCCATGGAAAAAAGTGTTGAATCCTTTCTAAATAATCTTTAAAGATATTCTTGTTTTTATTTCTTATTACTTGTAAGAAAGAACAGATCTATTTTTTGTTTGGTTGGTTGGGGGGTTTTTTAATTAAATTTACTATATTCCTTATCCACATCCGTAATTTGTAACGCTGTCATTGTTTGTACATCCTGGTTTGGTTGTTGGGAAGCAAAATATACATTTATGAGAGAGACATACACAACAATACTCTTTTATAATATTTACTTTTCAAGAGTTTTCACAAATATTGTAATGAAAGATAAAGGGGGAAATTTTTCCTTATGAATCCATTTCATGTATTTGTTTATAAATAAGATTACTCCTTTCAGAGGCTTCCTAAGAGAAGTCACTATCTGGATGATGATGCATCAGTGCTGCTTAAGCAAATGAGAAAAATTAGATTTAGAAGGTTATTACAAAACAAATGAAAATACTTACAAATGCCTGAAAAAATTACCTGGGATGAACAGGAAGTTTGAAATCTGTGAAAAAGTGAAAACTAAATCTTTCTGTTTTATAATTTGCAACCCGCATCTGATAAGTCAAAGTAGGTTCAGCTTTGATCCATTACGCTGTGGTGCAAATTTCTCTTTTGGGTTTTGTCAAAAATGTCCGAGCCAGTGGGGAGAAGAGAGGCCTTCTCTCAAGAGTGCAATCTTTTCATTAGGATTTTAAACACTGATGCTACAACAGCTTCAGAACAGTTGGTTCCTGTAGCATATTTTCTTTTCTCTCCCATTCTAACTTCTTCATCTATAATCAGAGCTATATAATTGAGCCTAAAAATAAATCTTCCAGAAGGCAATATCCCAGAAATAGCCATTCAAGATCTTTTATGCTCAACTCCTAAGATTTATGCAGATGATTAGCTTTAATAAAAGAGGAAGTACTACTGAAATTAATGAAGCAGCTATGATGTGTAAGAGTTAGTTTGTGGGATCAGATCTGATTCCCGTTACACGCAGGAGAACCCCTTGCGCAGCGTGCTGTAGGCTTGGCATTATAATACGCAGTTTGAACAGCGTGAGGAAATCGAGTTTGTCCTGTGAACTTTTGCTTAAAATGTCTTTGAGATCTTTTCTTACCTTTTGGATTGAGGAGCTGGTGGTTCTGTCAAGTCTCATTGGAAGATAATAGCTTTGCATATAGACTGTCATTTTGAAAATTGTGTGTTTTCTTCTGTTAAAAGACAAATGCTACAGTATTTTGTGCCCTAACAAGTCTTAGGGCATTGAGAGTTGTTTTACATCCTTCACTGTCAATATATTAGTGCAACTCCTTGTAGTCACAAAATTAAACATATGTGTAGATGTTTGACCCAGTTTAGAAGTTAAATGTTGTGCTGTAACTATAGGGTGAGTCTCAGTTTAATGACCGATGAGATATAACATTCATTAGGGTTCTGAATTGGATGAAAAATGATTTTCACTTCACTACTCGGTGTCCTGCATTGTCTCAAGTATTTGGTGGTTCTTTTACAGACAGGAATCTGCCTGATGCCCAAAGTAACCTTGGATTATGGGGGGATGGCAAAGGTGAAGATGAACTGTCACCTGAAGAAATACAAATGGTAAGTATATTTTGTGTCTGATTGTCCATTTTATTGTATTTTCTGCTGTATTCATATGTGTTAAGAAAGTACAGATTAACCCAACTTTCATTTTACTCAGAATAATGCCATAATGTGATACATCTTTTGCACATGGCTTTCTGGTTCTTCTGGTAGCAGCTAATATTTAAAATTGCTACAAAATACCTAGATGTAGCCGTGAAATTAGTAACAACTATTTTTCAGCAATTGAAATTAAAATTGCTTTTAAAATTACAATTATGAATGGCTTTTTAGTCAGGAAACAATAGAACTCAAGGCAACATCAGAAAAAGCATTATGAAACTTCTGAAAGAATAAAGCATTGGCCATTTTTTACTTGGACTTAGTTATACTATTGAAGTATAACTGTGAAGTTATACTTCATTTTATTCCTTTTTTTTTATATTATCAAACTCAGATTGGTTTACTAGAAGGAATAGCTACACACTTTCCATCACAACAGAATCTTATTAATTTTGCCTTTTCTGCATTTCCCCATTATCAGCTTGTTCATGTATCGTTTGATCCAGTTCTCCTTACAGTTGAGCTGATATACTACAAAATTTCTGACATAGGCATGACTGCTGACAAGCTGTCTGTTAGACTTTTTGATATTCCCTAAAATTTATTTTAAGAATAAAATATTTCAGAATTTTGGAAAGTCTTAGAATCAAAATTCTTTGGCTCAGAATTTTTAGAAAACCTCTCTACATTAGCACATATTGCCTTGTTTTATATAAAGAAAGAAAAACAGATTTATAACTAGCCAGTAGATGTGCCGTTTTCAAAATGGTGAGCTTTACTAAGGCAAAGGGTTGCTGCAGTATGAAGATGTGAAGCTTCCTTGGCAGTGATTAGAGATGTTCCCAAACACAATGTGCATCACTTTTCCCGTCAGCGATGAGTAAGTTGCACTTTATTATGGTATGGCTTGTCAAAGAGAAAAGGTTCTTCAGAGGCTGCTCTTGATGCTCTCATATGTTTTCGAGTGCAAGTCTGAAATCTAAAGGCTTACTGCTGCTTTCTGTTCTCTTTTTAAAGAGAATTCTTTACATATTTTTATTCTTCTGTGTTTAGGCACAATATTATCGGCCTCCTTGCTGTAAGCTTGCAGGAGGAAACAAGCATCAGAGGTGATTGCTCTGACAAGGCTTATTAATAACTGTCCACTAAATGTTGGATTGCTTTTTGTAGGCCTCACACTGTAATTGTTTTAAACATGTTACATCCCTTGCCATGGTACTTTGGGAATAAATACATTTCTTTTTCATTAAATCCTTTTATACTCTTTAGAGTAAGGCCCCAGATACTTCACAACTCATCTGAGTTACTGAAGTCTGTAAGTTTTGTTCTGCTTCTGTTATCAAGAGTTAAGAGAGATAAACATCTTAAAATGCTGATTTTTGCCCACTGAGGACCTCAATTTTTTCCTGGAATGAGTTCTCTTTATTGACTTGTGAGGGGGAGTGATTCCAGGCCGACATAAGAGAAAAATCCTATGTTCATAGTTCAAGGCTTTGAAGGATTGCTAGACTCCTAAATCTCCAGTCCTAAATTACTTCTTACTAGGCATTTGCACAGCTCTTCCTAGGGGACAACCAACAGACTTTTTTTTTTTAAATTCATTCTTATTCTTGACCCATTCAGAGCTCTCCTGTGCTATGTTTTTTTTATTATTATATACTTTCTAAACTTTTACTGGTTGTTTTACATTGATTTACTTCTATTGTGCTTTCAGGAGTTGCACTTCCTATGAAAAGGAGTATAAAAGTAACACTGAGGCTCCAATTTAAATAAGCTTTTAGCTCAGACAGACTATAATACGTCCTTACTCTTAGCTTACACAGTTCTGCCAATAGTTTGCAAGAAAATTTATAGTATATAACAGAGCCTTGATGTGAGTGCCGTGATTAAGCCTTGAAAAACTCAAACATTCCAGGTCAGGTTGGACAGGGCTCTGAGCAACCTGCTGTAGTTGAAGGTGTCCCTGCTCACTGTAGGGGGGTTGGACTAGATGGCCTTTAAAGGTCCCTTCCAACCCAAACTGTTCTATGATTCTATGAAAAATGACTTGTGTGGAAACTTCAGATGTCAGCTTTATCAGTCTGCTCAGTGGGAAGAGAGAGGCAAATTTACTAGTCTGTTTAGAGAAGCAGAAGATCAAAATGCTACCAAAATAAAAATAACATTCTTTGAAGTCCTATATATATTTTAATACACTGAAATATTATTACTGCTGTTATGCCATAGTTTATTCTTGAATTTCTGTGTGTGAATTTACTTTTTTTTTTTATGTAGTCTCAGTACCTGTGTTTTAGTACTGATAGTAGCAACCTAGAATTGAAAAAAGCATACAAAGGGAAGTTACTACTAGAACAGCTTCCTCTCTGTATAATTTATTCTGAACTTTGCAGAAAGCTGGTTCTGAGCTGGATGTGTGAATCTCCTGTTGAATCTTGCTGTGATTCTGCTCTCACCCAGAGCTGTTCTCTCCTGTTGTACCTCACTACAGGCTGACAGTATGACCGCCGGCAGTCAGAGCTGTCGGTATCTCAGCTTCTTCTCACACTGACTATGAGTCTGTGCTTCTGGCACTGTTGTGAAGAAATACAGGCTTGCTTTCTACCTCTCCTAAATTAGCAAGCATCAGTTACTTCCACGTTATGCCTTGGAAGGAATCTACATTTATTATGATTTAAAAGAAAAGTGAGTCAGCATTCATGGCAGTGTTAATAGAGATGTTTTTCTCTTTCTCCACCAGTTGCCAAGTAGAAAGCGAGCTTATTTGTTTCTAGTTAGAGTTAATGCCCCACAATGAGGGTAATTTCTTGTCAGGTAACTTTTTTGCTGTTGGATTGGATGTAAACCTTGACACTAGTATTGTTGATGCTCAGAGCTGAGCAAGCCATCGCTCTGTCCTGTGGACCCAACATGATCTTTTTTTAGGGTTTGGGGTTTTTTTGTTGTTTTATGAACACTCTAATTATCTAATTTACAAAGGCTAGGGATGTATGTGGTGACTATTCCACAGCAAACCTGCTCTTTCAGTGCATTTTGAAGGAAACTCACAGCTAAAAAGTTGGCCTTTATTAGTAAAAGTGGGGTACTGTATAATTTCACTTTTAACAGACTTTAAAGTCACTGGATCCATTATTCTGATTTTCAGGTAAATATAGGTCCAAGGTGTAACTATAGGTATAACTAGGAGATAATTTGTGTATTTGAATGTGCATTGCTTTTTTCGTTGCTCACATAAATCCTTCATACTAACTTGGCAATACTTAGTGACTTCATTGAGCTTTTAATGCAGGAATCAAAGGGTCTTTACAAACATGTAACAAACCCTCACAGGTTCAGTTAATTTGTTCACTCAAAGGACAGTTAATTATTTCTCCTCTGCACTATGTTTGCTGTTACAGAGAAGTTACTTTCTACTTTTTGAACATTTGATTTGTGAAGCGTGGACCAGCTGTGTTTAAGTTACTCAGAAAATCCAGCAGCTCTGAGAAGAGGGTACATTACAGTGTAGAAACTGCTGTGTTGGTTTTAAACTAGAATGTTTTGTGTCAAATCATACTTAACAATTCTCAATCATGATCCATCTTGTGGGTAAAATAATGAATTAAAGCCCTATCATATTGCTACAGGAGCAATTTCTATCAGTATTTTACCCACAGGAGAGAGCCTTACATTGTTCAAAATGGTTGCAGGCTATTGTATGATTTGCACAATAAATTTCAGTTTATAACCTGAGTACAGGTATATTAATGGCTTTTATAGTTATTGTGAGCAGATGTCTTGTGGTTGCATTGAGGGGGAAGAAATCTGGCTCTGCTGTTTGAGTTGTGAAAACATCTAATTTTTCCTGACTTTATCTTTTGTTTGTTTGTTTTTGTCTTCAATTCAGATAATGACATATCTCATGGGATAACAAAAAAGAACTGTGATTATTCCTTCTGTGCATTAGATTTTTTAGACTTATGTTAAGCAGTTTGTCACTTTACGCCATACTTTGGTGACAGAATATTTCGCTGTCATAAAAGAGGCTACTTTAACACGCCATCAGTCACCAAGCTAAACTGATCACTAGCGTTTGGTTTATGTTCCCGTCATTTAAATCCCTTTGACACAGTGGTGTACGATACGTTCTGCGCTCTAACCTTTTGTTCAATTGGCTGTTTTAGCACAGCTTACTGCTGTCTGCGCCAAACGGTCCATCAGCCATGATTTAAAGTTGCAGAGATCATTTAGCGGTGTAAAAGGCAATCCGAGGCAGTGGAGGGTTTTAAATATCAAAGGGACTTTTAAAAGAATACTTCTCAAGCGGATTTGCATTATTTGTAAGGGATTAAAATAATTCACTGTTTATTGAAAATTTGCCTTCTAAATTAGTCATCTCAGTTTTACTAGGGCAGCAAAATAGGGAATTTTTGATGTTGAATTTTTGTGCAGAAATACTTATCCTTACAGAAGTCAGAGAAACAATTACAGCTTACTGGCCCTGTTTAGTCACTTAAGGAAGGACCAGTTGACTCAGTGGTGAATCTCGTGGATCTATTTCATTGCTCTGTTCCTTGGATTTGTTCTGAGGGGACTCCACTAAAACCAGAGACATACAGTGTTGTGAACATACAGGAGTGCAGTGACGAAACGCCTTTAACCATCCGCCGCTGTGAAGTAAATATCACTCTATCAGTCGATTACGTTTTAACAAATGCTCTGCTCTGTAGGAGGAGACCCTACAGACAGCAGTGACAATGACATTTGAATATATTGCAACACTGATACTTTTTTATTTAACAAAACCATTGGATCTTGAGGGTGGAAATCAGTGGGACTTCAGGGAGCTGTCCAATAGGTTCCTCTCTGTTTCCCCTCAACCCACAGGTCTGGGCTCCTTCTGTGAGGCCTCTACCCCACAACGAAGGTGACAGTGTCCAGTGGCCCTCCTCCTCCTCTGTGATCTTGGACTCTCTGGAGTCCTTTAACCAAGGAGATAAAGCTCTTTTTACCAATCAGGTAGATAGTGAACCTCTAATACAAAAAGAAATTTGTTTTTTAAAAGAAATTAAAAAATAATTTTTCATTATTTTTCATGACATAAATTGCCTATGTTAGAAGACTAAATCTTTTTTCTATGAGATTCACTGTTACCCTTCTTTAAACATATCTGTCGCTTCACACTCACTTCTGCCAAATTAAACCTACAAATTTCTGATTTTTAACACAGTAATCATTTCGCCTGAAGTCATGCAGGTTGACATTTAATTTCTTGTTGGCAGAGAGTCAGGTGCTGCTTCTCTGAGGTCCTGATGGGCCTAAAGCAAGATGAAAAATGTTAGAGCACAAAGTCTGGGGGACAGTGGCAATGGTGTGGGGTGTGAGCAGGAGGGAGTGAAGGTGAAGGGTATGAAAGGTGGCTTGCCATTTTCTTGTTTTCTTGCTTTTCTGTGTTGGTCAGTGTCAGTGCAGAAGTCTTGCTCAGCTCCTACCATCCACTCTCCCTTAAGCCAGCCCTATCATCTGGTCCTGTGGTAGGATTCAGTTTACTAATCTACCAGAAAACTCTGAAGGTGGTTACTGAGATAATGTCGCACTGAGAAATCAGACGAGCAGTGCTGCTTGCTTAGGACTCTGTATGTGGGAAGAGAGGGGAGCAGGACAAATTCCTTCGTGGCTGCACTAGGTCTTTTTCATTTCACCCTGGGTACTATACACACTTTAATTCTTCTCTGTGTTAGTATTATAAAAGTACTTGATGTGGCAGAGGTTTCAATCAGAACATTCTGGAACGTTCCAAGGGATGCATACATCAGCATCTGAAGCGATGTGCAGGAGGAGCTGCACAAGCTGTGTACAGAAGATCTTAAAAGACCTCAGCACAGGCAAGACATGGACCTGTTGGAGTGGGTCCAGAGTAGGTCACAAAAACAACCAGAGGGATGGAACACCTCTCCTGTGAGGACAGGCTGAGAGAGGTGGGGTTGTTCAGCCTGGAGAAGAGAAGGCTCCGGAGAGAGCTTATTGCAGCCTTCCAGTACTTAAAGGGGGCTTATAAGAAAGATGCGGACAGACTGAGAGGGGCCTGTTGGGATAGGACAAGGGGTAATGGTTTTAAACTAAAAGAGGGCAGATTTAGACTAGACATAAGAAAGGAATTTTTCACAACAAGGGTGGTGAAACCCTGGCACAGGTTGCCCAGAGAGGTGGTAGATGCCCCATCCTGGGAAACATTCAAGGTCGGGCTGGATGGGGTTCTGAGCAACCTGCTCTAGTTGAAGATGTCCCTGCTCATTGCAGGGGGGCTGGACTAGATGGCCTTTAAAGGTCCCTTCCAACCTGAACTACTCTATGATTCTGTGACCTGGGACAGAGATGCTGGTGGCGGCTGGGGCAGGGTGGGGCTCACAGTAGTGAGCGGAAGATCCGTCACCAAATGTAGCTGTATAGTAATGTTAAATTTACATACTCTTATAGACTGGCTCTGTGAAAGAAGTTGTGGGTCAGATGAGCTGTATGACATAGTACAGCCCCCAATTTTCATGTTGTCTCTTAATCAAGAACTGTGGTGGTGTTCAAACTACTTTGAAATATGAAGTGCTTCTTTTTTCAGCTATTTCAGTAGCGCTGCTCTAAAAGCAAAATGCCCATCTGCCTTTCACTGATGTAACGCGACCCTCACTGTGATCATAATTCTCTGTGACTCAGACTTTTCCCCCCTCCTTCTTTCCTTTTGCTTTTTGCACAAGATAGTATTTGAAAACAACTATTGTCTCCTCTGCGCAACACGTCCTTTCCTTGCAAGCTTAAGTGTTAGGCATATGCTCAGATAGCGAGCGATTCCTCTTGCACCGACTGAAAACCATCTGACCTGTAAGCAGTGCTGCTCTGTTGGCATTTTCGTCTTTGACAACACACTGCTCTGTCTTAAAGGATAACAAGACCTTGCAGGGTGGCTGAGAGGACTGCTGCGCTTTTACTGCCAACGCAGTTGTAACGTGATTGAGTTATGCCAAAATCCCAGTGTATTACATAGGCTCGTTAAAAATGAGATTAACTGAACTAGAACAGGCCTCGCTGTCTTGCACAGCTCCCGTGTCAAAGTCTTTGGACTCTGAATCCTGTTTTGTGGCATTTGCACTGCTGTACGTATCGCTCGGGTTTGTCAGAGGCGCGTAGCAGGTGACGTTTTCAGTAGAAATGCATATCCTGCGTGTTATTTCTGTACAACTGCGTAGACCTGGTCTTTCCCAGCTTTGTGAGAAAAGCGCAAAGACAGAGGCAGTCGTGTCCATACCACAAGGCCCAGCTGTTATGAGGCTTTGGCCACGTAGGATTAGTGGGTGGAATACCTTGAATAAGCTTCCCCTCCCTCCCCCAAAATGGGACTTGTGACCCTTGCGATACGAAGTGCTCTCCTTATCGGAGAGCAGATAAGGAGAGGGCAGGAGCCTTTCGGCTGGGGCAGGCCACAGGGCTCCCAGAGAGCGTACCCCGGATCCGAGCGGCGGTGGGACAGGGAGCAGCACGCTGCGGGCCCCCCTCGGGCTTTTGTCCAGCTGTAGCCGGGTGCCAGACCGCAGGATCGGTCTCCTTCAGCACCTTGCCAGTCCCAGCTCAGCATGTCCCGACGGCTTCTCTGTAAAGCACAGTCCTTATGATGCAGTTTCCAGCAAACCCCGCTACGATGGGGGTTACCTTTCCCAGCTGTGTTTTGGCTGTGCGGACTTTGTTCCAGCAAATGGCGGTGGTGTACTCGCTGCATGATCATGTGTTCTGTAATGAATCCCAAACGATCCGACAGTCAAGTACATCTAAAAAGTCAAAGCTTATTTTCCTGTATGAAGTCTTCTATTTTTGCTTTTATTTTGAAAAACATAGTGCTAAAGGTGTATTTAAATGTTTCATTGATTACTTGTGAGTTTTAAATGGAAGAGGTCTGCTGGAATGACTAAAGCCAATGCATTTGTAAAGTATGAAGTACTAGATGTCATGATATTTCATATTGTAACAAATTCTAAAAGCTCTTGGCTTCATGCCATGGGCAGTACATGAATAATGTGAATGATAGTGCAAAGATGTCAGGACAAGAATCGCATGCTTTCCCAAGCATGAAAGCTTTCCCCATTCAAATTTCTAAAATAATAAAAAAGGACAGATTTCACCCACTGTATTTTTGCTTACTGCAAAGTAACTTGAGCAAAATCTTCCAGTTATTTTGGGGTTTGTCATTAATGGGAGGAGAATGACAAGTGTTACAGTGACTGGTTACAATTAAGCAGGTTCATCTTGCTCCTTTAGGCCAGTATTAGTAATTCTTGAAGATATTTATAGTCAAGACACATTGTAAATAGACTGCAAGGAGGGGTGGCGGTTGGCTGATCAGGCGTGGGGGCTGAGGAAGGTTCACTGGGTCCAAGCATTCGAACTCACTGTCGTTTCCTTCTTCCAGTTTGAGCAGGAGAACCAGAGGCTTGTTGGTGAAATGAATAATCTCTTCGATGAAGTCAGGTACAATTTTCCGTTACTTGACAGACTGCTGTGCACGCCGGTCCCAGAGCCGGGTGACAGCCACGCACAGCGTGTCTGCCGCAGGACACCCAGCTGCATGAAGGGTAGCGTGTGGTAGGAGGAGGGGTGAAGTGGCAGCGCCCAGGAAAGGAACTGTGTGAGTTCACACATTGTGTTGTCCCACAGCCTAAAGAATGGTTCCGAGTGGCATATAACCTATCCAAAACAGTGCTGGTTAAACTTGGAAGGTTTACGTTCTAGCGCACTTAAATAAGTTTTAAAAGATGAGGTTTTCCATTCGTAGCACGTTGTCCGTGGAACGTAGTACAGGCAGCAGCAGGGGAGGTGCAGTCGCTGACCCCCGTGCAGGGACCTCCCTCTGGGGCAGCGGCAGGGCCCTTTGCTCTGCGCTTGCTCTGCAGAACGCCTGAATGGCGTGTTCTGCACTCAAGCTAGAGCTTTACTTTTGGGTGGTTAGTACTAGGCAAGGTGACCTCCACACTTCATAGTAGCATATAAAAAAGATACGTCAAAATTAAATACTTAGGGTCTGCTATGGATTTTTATTTTTTTTTAATATTGGATGAAAGAAGGACGGTAGGGTGAAGCTCTCGCAGGGAAGGCTGCTATCTGCCAGTGCCCTCTCCCCACATGGGAGAGGTGGAGCCTTCCCCAGAGCTTCGCTGTGGGCCCCTGGTCTTCCAGCCATGGGTTGTTGAGCGCTCATCGCTGGCTGCTGCTGCGCCAACAGCCAGCCAACAAGACTGAACAGCCTGCTTGCCGGGTTGGAGGATCTGAACCTGCAGGAGCAAGAAATGTTTGCACTGGTTTCTAATGGAGTATTTCTGTTCTTTGCCAAGACAAATTGAAGGAAAGGTGGTGGAAATCTCCAGATTACAAGAGATATTCACTGAAAAAGTCTTGCAACAGGTTAGTGTAATTTAATACTACAGCAGCAAACATAGCTTGAAAATTTTATTTGGGATATTTTGGTCTTGGTTGCACACAAGATGTAAACATACAGTTAATGAATCTTTGATGCAAATGTGACGGAAAAGATTTTTGTTTTCCAAATGCAAAATCAAGATATTTACTGTTGTTACTTATCAGTATGTGCTGGGAATGGAAAGCACAACATATGCATGAGAACAATCCCTCTGCCTCAGAATTGGTGTCCTCTTAAAAGTCTTGTTTAATAGCATCTTTTCTGGAAATGGTGGCACCTCTTCCAAAAGAGCTGGCAAAAATTAAGACAGGTGAGATTTGATTCTAGAGAAATGGGAGACTTCCTGTTCATCTTGGTGGTCTCCATTCAGGCTCATAAATTCACAGGTAAAGAAATTATAAGTTAATTGCCTCTATACTTTTGCATCATTGAAATGAAAATGTTAATAATACTAGATTTTATTTTATTTTATTCTCAAGTTCTGCTTGTTCCCCAAGTCCTTGGAAGTGGCTTTTTTTCCCTAACATTCATCACTGTTTCTCAGTTTGGTTTTTTTTTTTTTTGACAGGAAACAGATATTGACAATATCCATCAACTAGTTGTGGGTGCAACAGAGAATATCAAAGAAGGCAACGAAGACATCAGAGAGGTAATGTCCCTAAGTTGGGTTTTAAACTCACTTGTTTCTCTTTGCTTTGTTTTGCCCAAGTGTTGCTTTAAACAGTGTGAGCGAGCTCACCCACGGTGCAGGTGCAGCGTGTCTGGGGCTGTCAGGACATGATTTTAGAAAAATCTTACAAGTTAGCCGAGGTTCTCAATCGTTGGCGTTGCTCGTCTCGCTAACTGTGACTTGGAATAGCTATATGGGTCTGCAGGAAGCTGCTTGGCTTCACCTGTTTTTTAAACATGAAGGTCACTTGGCATGCATTTAAGCACCTGTGAAACTTGTTTAAAAAAGGAGGGGAGGGAGAAATTGCAGGCTGTGAATAAAAGACAGTGCTGAAATAATTGAAACTGGCGTTAAATACTGAGCGTTAGCGGAAAAGTCTCTTTATCACGCTGAACCCATCTTGCATGCTCCTAGTAAAAAACTCTTATCCCATTACCTTTGTCGTGCTAATTAGAATGAAATGGTGTTTTCTTTCAGGAACTGAGATTTCAATAAAACCAGAGTTCCTAAATTAGGCTACTGACTAAATAGCTCAGTTCTTATTTTTCCTCCCTCCTGAAAGCACAGAAAATGAGTAACTCAAGGATGAGTTATCTACCACTCAGCTCTACCGAGATGTGCATCAAACACAGCATGAACTGAAGTTATTTTTGCTTTATTTTTCACATTTGTAGGTAGAACCAAGTTTCCTAAACCACTGAGAAATGGTAGAGAAAGGTGATAAATACAGAACTTGGTCACTCACGTTAATGTTTGTATTACATTAAAAAAAAAAAAATCTATTCCATGCATAAATGTAACAAATGAGAAACAGGTTTCCTGCTATATGCCGGTCTCAAATTTGGGAAGGAGAATCCAAAAAAAAAAAAATCCTTGCTGTTCTTACTTCTTGCTCTGAGCCTGAAATACATGATTGACAGTGTTAAATCAACCTCCAGAAACAGTTGTCAGGATTTGGGGTGGTTTTTTTACTCAGATTAGAGTGATAAAAGCCTGATTACTTCTAATCACAGAACTTCACTTTTGGAAATTAAAACTAACCTTTAAGCAAGAATGTTTTGATGTAGTTCTTAATGTTTTGAGTATATTTCCCTCGTGTGGGACTCAGGATTTTTTTTTTTTTTTTTTTTACTGTGGTGGTTTAGTTTTTTAAGTGAGTGACCGACCCATTTTAGTATTTTGAGAGAAACTTTAGTGTGATACAACTAAAGAGGTATAGCCCACCTGACTTATCCACATGAAATTAATGGCAAGTTTTGTTCTTTCTCTTGTGGGAGGGAAGAGTGAAGCCACTAACGGTCATCCTGGGGTGCCACTGTTAAAATTCTGCAGTGTGTTTACTGGTGATGGTAATGGAGTGACCTTTTCCTCACAGGCCATCAAAAACAATGCTGGATTTAGAGTATGGATCCTGTTCTTCCTTGTGATGTGTTCATTCTCCTTGCTTTTCCTGGACTGGTATGATAATTAATCAAAAATCTATTATTGTCCACATGCTTTGTTTGTAAAACTTTAAACTTTTTTCAGTGGAGCAGGGTCTATGGCATACCAGTGTATTTTATGCATTTTTTCATACTGCTATGGTGGAAATAATTTCCAGTAAATAAGCACGTGTATATATCCAGTAGTGCAGAGGGAGCTGCTAGCATTCATTTTAAATCCCTTTGTCGAACATAAAATCACCCTTCATCCTGCAAGTAACAGAAACCTTTGAAAGAGCTGGAGCAGAGCTAACAGCAGAAGAAGAACGATAATGGTTTTATCGTAGTCACCCACACACTGTGATGTTTGAAGCCCAGCTCCCGGTGTGCAGACCAGACCAAGAGAAAACTATTACTGTGCAAAAGCATCTACACTGTCTCAGGCTTTTTTTTATTTAATCATCATGCCACTTCGGTACATAGTGATCATTTTGCACATGTATGACCTCTACTTCTAATCCTTTGAAACTACTCAAGTCAGAGATCAGGTTGATTTAATAGTAATAATAATGATAAGAAAGAAGTCAACTAAAGAGCTTTACTTCTGGGTGAAAAGAGACGATACAACACAGACAGATTGTGCAGTGAAACAGATGTTCTGCAATGTCAGAACAAAGCCAAAGGATAGACAATATCAAAGCCAAACTCTTCAAACTACTCAAAGTGGGAGCAATTTGTTTAACTGAAAAGAAAGTCTCAAAAACAGCTGTAGATAAACTCTTGTTATAATCAGGGGAAAAAATGGTTTTGACTTTGAGAAGCATAAGCAATCTCTTTTCTCCTAGATCATAAAGCTTAGTATTTTTCTTAATGTTTATTTTTGTGAGAGGGAAATAAGTTGTTTCTCATCAGTATTTACTTACTAATTGAAGTTTTTTATTGTCCTGAATTTAAGGGGAGGAGATGTATCATGAATCATTTCTATGTAGGACAGTTTTGGGGAACAGAGCTTTCCATCTTGTAAAATCTGCATGTCCTCTGTAAATATGTTGATAAGAAATGTGGGTTTAGCTATCTCTCTTCTGAAATGTATATTTCTATACATTGTATGCAACAAGCAGCAGCATCCTCATTCTTTACTCTGCACTGAGTGAAAATGTCAAAAGTTACGTGTGAAGTAATTGCATTCAATAAAGCTTAGGCCTACTAGAAAATGCAAACATGGTTTGCTTGAAATTTTTAAATGCAAAGAAAAATTTGGCACGTAATTTATTGCTTTTTATGCATTCCACATACCATTATGACTTAATAAAAAGCTTCTTACAGTATATATCTGTGTAATGCATATTTCATCTCAAACCTAGGCAATTAAGTAGTAATGGTTATTTTTACTGTATTGGTAAGAAAGCTTGTTGACAAAGCAATTCTACTGGAGAGAAATAAAAGTAGGGCTGACCATGTTTGTTCTACTATGGATCAGCCCACCCATGATGTTTTACCTTCATTTTTGTGGAGTCTCTACCAAAAAAAGAAAAGGAACTTTTGACATGTCCACTACACCTTGTCCTGTTCAAGTTACACGAACAAAACCGTGACTTGCTTGCCCAGATGCTTCACGTGCTTTGCTTTGTCATTAAGAGGTCTTTTTTGTAATATATAGTTAAGATTGATAACAAAAATGAAAACATGGTTTCACACAAAGAATAGGTAAGTTTGTAATTACCATGGAACTTTTAACGTGCATCCACAATACTATGTTCTTCTACATCTTTCCCCCTCCCAAGCCATACACAAACAGTTCTACTCTTCACTCTTTTTTTCACATGTAGCTTTAAAACAGCCAGTTGTGTTATCTAATATGAAAACAGCCAGTTGTGTTATCTAATATGCTACGGTTTCACTTGTGATGCTCTGTGTTTTAAAAAGTAGCAAACTGCAAACTGTACATAAATTGGAAGCTCTTTCTAATTAATAAAAACAGATAATGTTGATGTAATAAGAGAAAATTTAGACACATTACTCCCTCGGTTGCATCCAACAAATTACATCATGGACTACATCTACTGCAAGTAGGCTTTCTGCCTCTTATGTATGATCAAAAGATGTCGTTTCTCACTAGAACATCCTGAACTGTAGCTCTTTCATGCTCTCCTCAACATCCATCACTAAAACTCTGCTTTTCCATAATGTCTGTCTAGTGTTGTGGTTCAGTGCACATCCTTACCAAGCTGCTAAAGCCACAGTGGAAATGCAGTTAAATCCAGTTGACAGCAATAATAAAACATTGAGCATGCCTTGTTGCAGAGAACTTCATTATCACTTACAAATAATCAACAGTAAAGAAAGTGTAAGAAAAATGCTACCTGACAGTTTCTTTCTCCATACAAGTCATTACATTATGCCCTTGACTTCAATGCTATCATTCTTGCTTGAGCCAAAACAAAATATTAAATATAGCTTTCAGCTAAACAAGAGATCACTCTAGTTATGGGCTAGGGTGTTTCAGTTTGCAAAATGTCAAAGAACGAACAGAAAAAGTAATACATAAAGTATCAGTTCAGACAACAGAACACATGATTTATCTATCTAAGGTCCAAGCCCTGAAAAACCAGTGAAGAAATCTGTCAGTATCCAATAAACTGCAAGAACATATCTAATATTGGGGTTTGTTTTTTAAACATTGAAAATGGTGTCAAAGCTCTAAAGCAATGCTGATATGCACCTTGGTTTATGCCTATGAATGTTCTGCAGCAACTTTTTGTTTGGTTGTTTTGTTTTTTGCAAAGCAGTATCAGCAAACAGAAGCAATTGCACCATAAACATGAGTAACCTCTAAATTATCCGTAATTATATTTAATGAAAAGTTCCTTAAAGTCCCTTAGTTACCTTCAAATGACATAGTGTTAATAATGAGCTTATCATACTAAGCTGATTTCTCAGCAGCTTCAGTCTCCTGTTCAGATAGTTTCTCTTCCGACAGTACTGTCATCCACGGGGACACTGAGCGCGTGATGGTTTGTTTGGCCAGATTGTAGTGGTTTATGACTGTGTAAAATTTCCCTCGAGCACTGGAATCTTGTTCAGAGTAGTAGTTTTCCAACCCAGCTGGAATGCATTGATTATTCTGAAAAGAAAAATCCATCACTTAGATTGCAGGTACAGTCCCAAACACTAGAGGTAGGGTAGTTTCATTTCTTTTCCTTTTAGTCTAAACCAACATTCCCTTTCTGTGAGGCAAGACACAACATTGAGCAATTAATTTACTAACTACAGTGTTGTCCTGCTGTGTTCAAAATGTTCTTCCCTGCAATCCTTAAACTACTCCTGCATTTGCCTGGAAGCCCAATCTGGGTTTACATCCCAGAATTAATTAACACACAAGAAACATGCTTGCCTCAAATTATTTTTAAAAGTATTCAATCTCTTGTTCCAGACATGTTTTCCTGGTTTTTTTTCCTCCCCACCTAGTGCCAGCTGTTTGGTCTACAATCGCAGGTGTCTCCATCCTACCATTAGCTTCAGGCACTTTAATACAGTTGTTTTCAGTCTGAGGGACAGAAGAAATTAATACAGATATATTGGTGGCAAGGTACGAAGGGTTTTATAGCCCAGTAAATAAGACACACAGGAAAAACATTGTGGGTGGCCAAGCTTATGTGCAAGTGTATACACACCTACAAAATACGTCACTCTTGAGATTGTCAGAGAGATGCAGCCAACAGGCTTTTAAAAAGCTATCTTTAGCTGTGGGACTACATTATTTAACTTCCCGGGAGTGTAAGAGCACTGCACAGAAGCTGCTCGATGCTCAGAGCTCTTGATTGATAGCGAAATACTCGATTTAGAGTTACATACTGAGTAGAATCCAAACTTTGCTGTTGTCTTGAACACCAAAGCGAATGTGCATGTGCAGTGCATTAGTCAGCAGGTATTGCCTAGTGCCCATTCCAGTGATGATGCAGTGCAAGCCTATGAAGCAGCTAGCTGCACTGCAGGAAAAATGACTTAGACATATCCTGTGAACCCCCAGATTTTGCTCCAGAAGGGTCTCTCCACAGCTCCTCTGCCATACCTGCCAGCCCAGGCAGTCTTGCCTGATACCTCAGACTGTTGTCAGGCACAGGCAGTCATCTGGGCAACTGAGTTGACCCTCTAAAATATAAGCTATGAGTAGCTGCAGCTTGAGGAAAAAGAAGTTTAATCATAGAATTCTGAGTGTTTTAAAAAGAAATAGACTGCTTGGTCTTCCTGCTTCCAGCACCAGAAGACTAAAATTTGTAATACTACAGCACAGAAATGAACGGCTTCTGTTCTCACAGAACGTGGCAAACGAAACAATACTGGACATTTCTGAGCACAAAAAACACACGCAAAAATGTCCTGGTTTTTAGGACCAGATGCTATCTCAAATGTGTCCACATTTACTTTTTGGTTGACACACACACACCCCCACACGGACAAAAGAGAGAGTTTATAATGGTTTAAATCATAAAATACAAAATGACTGGGGGAAAGATCCAGCAGGCAGTCTTGGCTTAATATAAATTTTGCATCCTAAAAATGTTAAAGAGTGAAAAAAAAAATCAAAAGGTATGAAAGAAAAAAGCAAGACTTGCCAAAACAACAGGCCTACAGAGGTAGTCTTATGAACCTCCCTGCCGCCGATGAAGAGAGTCTCGTGGCAAACTGGATGGCTGAAAGACAACTGTCACAAGACTAGCAGCCCTCCCTCGGAGTTAGCGCCTCATCGGTACTAAGCTGCTTGTGTGACAGAAGGTCCATGTGTGTCAGACTCACAATAGCACTCAAAGTTACCACATCCACCCAGGCTGTTTATTTGTTACCTCCTGTTAAGGTAGCAGCCAGTGCAGATCTTCCCTCACAGTTTTGTTTGAAGCAGCACTACAAAGCAGGTGGGATTTAAGCCCAGCTAAGCAGACACTTGTGCCTATTCAGCACCACTTCAGTCCACAGAGGTTTCCCCATGGTGATAATCATTGCATGTGCGAGCTGCAAGACTGGGACCAAGATTTAAAAAAAGAATTAAAAAATCTGGAATACAGCTATTTGATATGCATGTTTACCTCCATCAACCATGCCATCTTCTAGAAGTATTATCCATGCTTTATCCAGGATAACTGTCACTACTATTGATGTGGTAAAATGACTAAGTACATAGACAAAGGCATCTTTGTAGTGATTATTTCACCCAGTCATGGGACATAGTCACAATTCTAAATATTTAAAAATGGGGGAAGGAATACAATCCATTCATCTAATGAAATCTGCCAAGAAAATTCAAGCAAATATAATTATTAGTGCTGAAGACAAGCCAAGATGACTGCCAGTCTAAAAACAAATGCCACAGAATCTTCCGTTGCTTTTAGAAGCAATTTGCTTTGTAACAGGAAAAATAGCTCAGTAATGTTATTTTTTGTAGTCACAAACATGTATAACATCTGACAGAAGAGCCTAAAGAAACACACAGCAGAGTTTCCATCTTGACTGCAGTTTTGCTCCTGGGATTTCAAGCTTCCAGAAAAGACAGGAAAAACCTCTCCTACTCACTGCTCCTTGTGTACTGGCCAAGGACAGCGCCCTTTGCTTAGCTCCTAGTCGAGGCAAGCCATACTGGTGCCAATTCTCCTGCTGCTTGCCTGAGACCTTCAGCTTATGGAGAACATTCCTCTCCACCTCTTTATTTGTTTCCATGGTTCCCAGGTGAGAGAAGTAATAAGGAAGGCCATGGAGAAACTGGGATGGTCCAGAGTGAGTTGCCAGTCTCTTGCTTCTTTCACAACCCTTCTAGTTCAGAAATCAGTTATGGGTTAAGGCCTTTGATGCCAGAGAAATCCTGGTTGCCAGTCTGTATCTGGCTGTATTAAGATGACTCCTTTTGTTCCTTTGGCATAAAGACCCCAGTGGTATTCACTTACAAAGAGCATCTTCTGTCACATTAACTCCAAACTTAATAGATGATGATGTTGTCTTTAATGCACTGAAATTGTTGTACTGTCCATGAGTCTGACAGAACACAGGTGCCTTGGCAAGAAAAGCTGAAGGGTAAGAGATGCAGTGCGGAGCATACTGAAGCCCTGGAGGAATTCCTCCAGGATGTAAGTGCACTCAGATCTTTGAGGAAAACTCCAGCGAGTCTCACCAACAGCCAGGATAGAGTGCTTCAGACAGCAATCTACACAACAGCAGAAAGTTTGAGCAAGCACAAAAGCAAGGCTCAAGCACTTTAAGATTGCTATACAAAGGAAAATAAGCACCTTTCTAAGCACACCTTCAAAGCCCTGGATGTGTAGGACAGCAGAAAGGCTGAAGACACTGAAACCTTTGGAACTGCTCCACCCACGAGAGCATCAAAGCAGAGAAGAGCCAGTCTGACTTGCAGCAGTGGTAGCTCAGTCTTTACACAGAGATTCCTATAGTACCAGGCTTCCTCGGGACACCTTTGCCCTTAACCAGGAAATCACATCAGCATCCAAAGCCTGGGGACATCCAGGCCAGAGAATGTTGTTGAGTCCACCTGAAGTACAAAGCAAGTCCACAGAGACACTGGCCACAAGGTGACAGACGACTTCATCTCTCTTAGGACACCTGTGTCAAGCTATGCCGTGACGTATTATGGACTCGCCCAAAAAAAGATGCAAAGGCAACAAATAACACAAATTCATGTCAACACTGTCAGTCTCAGGCCTTGGGTCATTCACTAACATGTTTATCCTGTAAAACTCTTAAGAGTTAAATGACCAAAGATGCTGTGTCTCCTGGCATTATGCCGTCAAGCAGCTAGGAAACAGCCTCTACAAAACCCAACACTGGGAGAGTAACAGTAACGCAGTCCTGTGTATGTGCTGGACCTTAAAAACAAAGCGTGAGCTATGGGACGTTCTGTTGTAGCTTCTGTTTCAAACACAGGGCCCCAGGGAGAGAAACCCAGCCAGAGTCTGTTCACAGTGCCACTGAAACATGGCTAAGAAACTGTCCTCTCCTTAAATGTTTGCGACACTAGGAAGAAAAGACGAAAGAAGACAGAAGGCTGCAACTCAAAGGGACAAGATGGTATGAAAGGAAGCAGAAGCAACAGACTGTTACTAGACTTATGACAGGAGCACATAACTGGCCATTCCTGTCAAGTCAGGATCACATCAAGATAGGCTCCGTAGGAACATACGGTCCCTACTCCAAATTGCTCAAAGCCACAAGAAAACTTAGGAAAAAAAGGCTATCATCCCACGAGGCATAAGTGCAGAGGGGTTTCAGTGCTTGTCTGAGACAACACAAAAAACCATCAGCAGAACCAAAAGCTGGATCTCTTGAGTTACCGCCAAATATTCTAGCCACAGTATCCTCTGCTCTTGAACCAAAGCAAAGCAGTAACCTAAAACTCAAAGCTTGGAGCCAAGTTAATCCAGCAGGGCATGACTGATTGTAACTTTGGAACAGATTCTTGTAAGATACTTATGTGCCTCAAGTGACAGAATCAAAAGTCCTGAACAGGATCATCGAGGAGCACTGAGGCAGCCATTCCTTCTTAAAACCTTTTGAAGATCATACTAGGTACCCATTTGATTCATTACGTGACTAAATATTCTTAAAAAAATTACAGAGAAGAATGCCATTGCCACTGCTACTTTTCTAATCTAATTACAGCCAAGTTCAACCCTGCTAAATTTACAACCAGGAAATGAATGTTACCTTTATGACCTTCAGCCCAGGTCATAGCTGAGGGGACAGCAGTACCATCTCACAAGAATGAAGTGAGCCCCAGCCTCCCTTTCAGCTAGCACCAGTATTTTTTCCAATAAATGTGTTTTCCCTTTTTTGGCATCACTTTTGGCCTGTGGCAGTAGGGCTCAGAGGTCACTGTTCTAGAACAGTAAGTTCTTTCTACAAAAATAACCCTAAGGTAACTCTGCTACTCTTAATGAGAACATCACTCTACTGTTTCTTTGACACATATTCCAGGGTATTTTTTTTCCTCCAGGTTTTATCATGCTCTTCTGTCCCAAGACACATTAATTTGGAGAAACACGCAACATTAAACCGTATGACCCAATGAATGAGGGCTTTGTCTAGGCAATTGCAGATGAAGTAGGTTTGAAGGGCACTGATGTTGGGACTTTTGCTATAGTTTCAGTGTTTAAAGCATTAGCAAAACAACAACATTATGAAAATTGTGCAATAGTTCAACCTTAATTATAAATTAAGCAGAAAGAGACATAGCAGGAAACACACTAACCTATGAAAACAAACACAATTTTCAATGCAATACAGCATGACTTAATCAAGGTTATGCAGAAAACAGCACAAAGAATATTACATGCTCTCCTATTCTTCTAGAACGTGTACACCATTTACCTTGAAAACAAATCCTTCTGGACAGGTATGATCATACTTGTAAACCTTGTAGACTACCAGAAATACAACACACGTTAAGAACGCAAGGGCAAAAAGGACCAGCACAGTTACCTGTAAAGAAAAATAAAACATGCTCATGTTAGTAATGCACTGCTTATTATGTTGCTGTTTGTTACTACAGACTAGAGAAGCCAGCTGTGAATGCACTTTAAGTAAAATCAAAGGATAAAAACAGCTACTGAATTATTGAGGGAGAACAGGGAAACAGCATATAAGTGCTTCTACCTCCCCATTTTCGGAGAAGAAAGTGGATGATCTGGTCAGCGGCCCATTGTCCCTGTACTGCAAGGCTTTTTTGGTTGCATTTCTGTTCAGTGCACAGATGAGGCCAGAAGGACACACTGAGGTAGCTTCGGTCTGCTGCTTTTTCAGTGTTTGGATGATGCAAGTGTAAGTCTAGTTTATGTCAGCTGATAAGCACGTTTGTTTTCCCTGTGCCTGTCCAAGAATGGAGTCAGGTGACAGTAAGTTAGCACAGGTGTCATCCAGATAATACAAATTTGACTCTAGCAGGGCAAGGAGAAAGTAACATCCGCCCCCTCTTCTTAGGATGAGAGTTTGTTGCACCTGCTAGGAATGTATGGGTAGTTACACCAGTAGCCTGCACACTTGGTTACTCTGCTCCTTAATTTATAGGTTGAAACAGTACTTCATCACACAGAGACCGTACAGGAGTAGCTCACTGCCAGATGCATAACGGAACACACCACGTTCAACACAGGGCTAGCCTCGAGACGTTCCATTGCACCTCTCCACAGTGCTCACAGAGAAGCCATTACAGACTGCATTACATGGCACTGACTTTTCACCTTAAGGTCCTTAAGTACCTTTCCAGTCCTGAATTTGAACTAGAGGAAAATCCAAGACACACCTTAAGTTGAGTCTGAAATCAGTGTCAGTATCAAGCTAACCTTTCCCAGGAATAAACTCTGAGCAGCTTGAGACCAGCAGCCTTTCAGGTGAGCTGGGAGACAGAACTACCTCTACAATTACCACTGACAAGATAAAGCACAAGACTTTGGTCTAGCAGTTACACCACAAAGGTCCCTGATTCAGACCTGTTTTTGTGGTTTTTTTGAAGGTATGAGCGGAGCAAATAGCCTTCATTATCTGGGAGAGTGTCCCAGGTGTGTGTGTTTTTATTATTCTGAAGCCTCTACTGATAGACAAATGAGTGGCTCGAGGAGATTACAGAATAAGAGTGGTTGAGCTTGGTTTTTTTGGCAAGTTAGAAAGAAGGCAGCATGTGCTACAGCATAAAAAACAGTAATAAAAAGAAACAAGATTATATAAAACGAAGTATAATATGATCTAAATTTTAAAGGAAGACAAATAAGCCAGCTACATACACTCCCTAAAAAGAGAACTTAGGCACATCAGGGTCAATTATGCAAACAAGAATAATGTGGTATTTGAGAAAGCAACCAAAAAAATTGTAGCTTTGCCTCTTGGTAAAAAAAGCCACCACACACTCCCTTTATGATAAACCCCAGAAATAACAGGATTTGCAACACTGCAAACTGCATGTGGAAGTGAGACTGGTACACTGAAGGTCTGAGATTACCTTTAGAGACTTCTCATGCTAGGGAAGCAAACTTCACCATGGGCAGACAACAACAAGTGTTAAATTTCCTGGCTGAGAAAAGGTTGGGGAGTATTGTGTGCTGCTCAAGCCAAGGATTTTATAAGGAATTTTGATAGAAAATAAGCAAAAAAAAAGGAGGGCTGGAGGAGAGACAGGGAAAACTGCAGATCAGAAAGCAATTTAGCAGAAGAAATGTAGATATTAATGTAACAATGCCAATCAAAATGACACATGGAGCAAAGGACCTTTCTGGTTAACAGCAACATCTTCAGTTTCTCAGAACAGTCACCGGATTACAAAAAAAAAAAAAAGAAAAAAACCCACATCTTCTTAAATCATCCTCCAAAAGCCTCACACTGACATCGATTTTCAAATCCAGTTAGTCCTTCCCCAATTTTATTACTCGTTTGCATACAGAAAAGTTAACATGGATAGATCACTATCTTGCCGACCTCATATTTTCTGCTTACATGTCCCACGTCTCTGTATGTCCTGCATGAATCCAAGAGATAAAGCACATTTTCCTTTCTGGTCATTCTCTGTGGCCCAGTTTAACAACAAACAACAAACCCCCCCCCATTCCTGGCCAAGCCATGCCCTAGCTCAGCCCTCTCATGTGTTTTTAATCAGGCCTCTCCCTTTCTTCTTCTACACTTGTTTGGGGCCTCTTCCTGTGTTTCCTGAGCCATCCCACCCACACACATGTACAAGACCCTTCACCCTCTGGTTTGACCCAAACCTTGCATCCCACCTTCCAGTGTTTTCCCCTCCCCACAACTGTAACAAGCCTTATTCTCTATTCTTCCCCCAAAATCCTCCTTGCACTCCAGAAGAAAAACTGACCTTTCTCCCCTAAGCTTGCAGTTCCCACTTGGGACTCCTTGTCCCACCTCCCCAGCACCTTGCTGGTATCTCTAAGTCCCACACACTACCTGTGTCATGCTATACCCATCTGCAGATGCCCAGGGTCCACCAGCCCCGCCAGGCCATGGGGCCCTAACCATGCCTGGGCCCCAAAGCATGTCTGCAGCCCTGTGCGCCTGCGAGGCCATGGGCCCAAGGCCTTCCGCCCCCGCTGAGCTCCAGCTGCTGCTGGGCAGCATGGGAAGATGAGGAACCAGAAAGGAGGGAGCACTCCTCACCCAGCCCAGCAGCTCTGCAACACACACCTGGCCTGGTCCAAGTTGCAGGTTTTGGGTCATTCACTTCCCACTGACCCATTCCTTTGCTCTGACAGTCCCTGATCTTTCCCTTAGAGAAGAAACGGAAAAGAGAGACTAGAAAGTGGGGACAGAAACGATAAAATCCAGTTGGGATTATTGCTGAGGCTTCCCATGCCCTACAAGATATGTTCCACACAGCCTTCACGAACGGCTGCTCTCTCTAGGAGTACAGGCCTGTGACATGGGACACGGACACCAAGCAGAACAACTGCTATGGTACAGATCAAATCCACTCACATTTGTCTCCTCCACAGACAGGCGTAAACAGGTTAAAATGCTTTGAAAAATATTCTCAAATCTCAAAGCATTTTAAAAATATTCCCTGGCTACCCTACTGGCCAGGAAGAGTAGAATTGTAACATTATTTCCCAGTCGTAACCATTTCGACATACAGATGAGGCCTCAGGAAAGCTAAGCAGGCTATTTTGTAGTTGAGACCAAATACTGGACAATGGAAAAATATTTGTAGTTCCACAATTACCGCAGAATCTTTCTCCAAGGCTCTGAAACTGTTTTGGAAAGTACTTACGGTTTTTGACAGAGGTTAAAAGCTCAGTGTTGTGCGGATTGGTGGAGCCTGGCAGGTTGTAGAGCCACAGCCTCAGGGCTGATTTGCTGAGACATGGAGCATCTACCTGTTTCACTGACCTACGTGGAGCTGTGAGTTCTCACCGCTTGTACAAGTCACGCCCAGCATGGTTCTTCCATCGCCACACAGTAAGCCACTGGGAAGAGCTCTCAGGGCTCTTGGTTCATAATTCTCAGCGAATCTTTCTCTTGCACTTAACTGTATCTCCTAATCTTATTAATTTTGGTATTAACACGTAAATTTTTACTCTCATTATCTCCAATAATTTGCAATCACATGCCATTTGCAAATCCCTAATCAAGTAAGCTCTTGTATCCTTCCTATCAGGAGAGATGCTCCCTTCTTTTGCCATCCTTCAGGGCAATAGTAACTTCCATGTAAGTAGAGGACAGTTGCACATGCAAACACCACAGATGGAAAGAAATCCATCACTAGATTCCAAGGCAATCCCAAGCACCTGTTAATCCAATCCACTTCTCCCTTATAAACTGAAAATCCTTCTCTTCCTTCTAATACCCATTTTCCTTCACTCTCATAATAACCTACCACCAATGGTCCAGAATTGTCAGATCCTCAGGTTCAGTTCTGAACCTGAGGCAGTAAGCTTCTCTCCCCTGCCAGTAACACAGCGTGACCCTGCGTCCCTGCCTCGCCATCTGAGCCCTCTCCTCCCAGATGCCTTTCAGAAGTACAAGCACAGAAAGAGGGAGGGCGACAAGCTGCTCTTCAGACCACAAGCGCTACCAAAGCTGTCATTTTATTGCTTTCTTCTGCAGCAACTTTGCACACTTGCTATAAACTAAAGGAAAGTTATTCTCTTCTTCCTACCGGGGCACTAGCAGCAACTTGCCCTCCTAGTAGGAGAGGATGCAATGCATGCGCAAGCACCACCCCCCTCTCTTCTAGAATCTTGAGCCTCTTCTCCTTGTGGTACCCAGCTGGCTGAGCACAGGACCCCACACAGTGGGAGCAGAAGTCTGTTGAATTACTATAATCATTCACTGCCATGTACATCCTGCAGAACTCCAAGGTGCCTGTCGCACCTCACAAGTGATGGGCTTTTAAAATACTTTTTATGAAATAACTACAAGATAGCACAAACAACCATTTCTTTTAACTAGGAACTCAAAGCTCTCTCTTCATCTTGAGAGCGCCCTTTAAAGTTGGTTTTAAGGTGATCTGTCAGCAAAACTAAATGAACAGAAAAGATGACAAAGTATGCATGTGGCAGATCTTCGAATAGATTGTAAGTGAAGAGCAGAAGGACAACGTCTAGCCAGAAGCCATTATAGTAACCGAAATGAGGGATGACGAATGAATGAACTAAGTGTACCCACAGCAAAAAAACCTGTCTTCCATCTCTGTGAGCATTGAGATGAACAAATGAAACTCACCACATCTGACAACTACACTAACATGTAAACAGCTCGTGGTAAGGCTTTACCATCAAGATCTGCTAGATCTTCCCATCAGTCCGTCCTACTTTGCTACAGCTGCACAACACTACAAGCTGTATTTCTCTGCCTGCCTACTGGAGTCTCCTCCTTTTGCTAACATTTATTGCACTCCATTTTAATCAAGCCAGAATATTACAGCAAAATTCATCAATTGCACCAACTGTGTCTGCTTCTCTTCATACCCCTTCCTGGCTCCT